ACACACTGCGCGATTAAGTAGACCCGCGAGCTGTTCCTCCGTTGGGTTTAACACTCTATAGGTTACACAAAACTAACACTCAAAATAATTAATTTAAAACTATTTAACACTAACTTTTATAATAATTTTTAACACGCTATAATTAATAAAACCTACAATATTTAATAAAACCTACAATAATGAAGAAAACCTATAATATTTAATAAAACCTGCAATAATGAATAAAATCTACAATATTTAATAAAACTTGCAATAATTAATAAAATCTACAATACTTAATAAAACCTACAATAATTAATAAAACTTACAATAATTAATTTGCACTATTTATAACGACGACATACGCGACACTACTAAATAATCACTACGTAATCGCTAAATAAACTGAAACTTAGTTTTCCGAACATGAACTATATTTGCTCGTAGAATGCAAAGGACACCGTTCGGAAAGGACAACTGATATTGTTGAACTGATCCCTCCATCGGTAGGATCGATGTGGCGTAATAGGTCGATCCCCACTCTTTCATGGTCAACACTTTTTAGGAAGGAAGAGCTGCATGGGAAAGTGTCTTGAAGGTCGCGTTTCTTTTCGTATATTCTTAGAGCAACATCTGTATTTTTTTCTCATACACCATCCGGGGCCACTTGGCCATGATGCCGAGGGTGTGCGAGTCTGGATATTACAAAACTATGTGCATTGCACATTTTATTACCCCGTCGATGTTACTCCAAGTGGTTGAGGTTCTTGTATCTGGAAGAAAATAATATGCAATTAACATGGATCATACAAGATGTATAATGATATTAGAATGAAACTAAGATGAAATTTGCCGCACCTGCACTACGATGCATGAAGAAATTACATAAAATAAAATAAAGGAAATTGTTAAACACATACATTCTGTGTAATATGAACCATTTCTAACATGGAGTCGGAATTCGAGGTTGGAAGTTCTTGTTACAAGTTAATGTCAAGAGGGACGGCCGAAAACACAATGGGCAAGGTCTTCGTGGATGGCAGCAACACGTTGCAGGCAATCCGCGGGTGGTCGCACTGCAGAAGACAAGAGACAGTTTTATAATATCCAGACTCGCACACCCTCGGCATCGAGGCCAAGTGGCCCCGAATGGTGTATGAGAAAAAAATACAGATGTTGCTCTAAGAATATACGAAAAGAAACGCGACCTCCAAGACACTTTCCCATGCAGCTCTTCTTTCCGAAAAAGTATTGACCATGAAAGAGTGGGGATTGACCTATTACGCCACATCGATCCTAACGAGGGAGGATCAGTTCAACAATATCAGTTGTCTTTTCCAAACGGTGTCCTTTGCATTCTACGAGCAAATATAGTTCATGTTCAGAAAACTAAGTTTTAGTTTATTTAGCGATTACGTAGTGATTATTTAGTAGCGTCCCGTATGTCGTCGTCATAAATAGTGCAAATTAATTATTGTAAGTTTTATTAATGATTGTAGGTTTTATTAAGTATTGTAGATTTTATTAATTATTGTAGGTTTTATTAAATATTGTAGATTTTATTAAATATTGTAGGTTTTATTCATTATAGCGTGTTAAGAATTAGTATAAATAGTTGTTATAAATTAATTATTTTGGGTGTTAATTTTGTGTAACCTGTAGAGTGTTAAACCCAACGGAGGAACAGCTCGCAGGTCTACTTAATCGCGCAGTGTGTGAACATTTTTCGCGGTCGGGACAATCGCGCAGTGTGTATGGACATTTTTCGCGGACGGGACAATCGCTCAGTGTGTGTGGACACTTTTCGCGGACTTCTGTGGTGTACGTGCATGTGCGGATTAATTTCATGGATACTCGTGGACAGGACAATTGTGATACGTGACAACTAGAGGGGCCATTAACCCTCCCTACTCGATAATATTCGTAAGAAGATATTTACATTTCTTGCGAATTTTATCGAGTAATTAGAGTTAATGCGATACAGGTGGATTCGACTCAAATACCGCGGGCACAAGTTATCGACATCTTCTACGGGGTAAGTAAACAGCTGTTCTATCGACTTTTCCTGCACGTCGTTGAGTCTTTAAAGTGACTGTACGCCCCTGATGAGCCGTGATCCGCTGACATTCCGTGCGCGCGGATTGCCATGATTTGGAGCCTTAAATTTTTCCCACTAGTTGTCGAACACCCTGTATACAGGGTGGTCCACTTAACTTGTTCACCTTGAATAACTTCTGAAGTATGCAGTCCATGAAAAAATTTTATATATGTATAAGTGTGCAAGACTGTAATGCACAAATGAGTTTGCGCGAATTCTTCGAACGTGTAAACTGTCCACGAATACAATGATTTAGTTCATTCATGCAAATTGTATGAACGTGTAAAAAGGCCTTAACGTTTCCGTTCCTTTCATTTCCAGCGACATCGACGACATCAACACAGACATTCTCCATCTGGACATATGGTGAGTTGGCGGGTACATTTTTTTAAAAATCAAATACAATAGAACTCGATTATAATCACCGAAACACTCATTGTCGAAACACTTTGTTAACTGAACGTGCTTTCATCGAAACATTATATTATCCGACCAGTTTTGTTTTCTTGTCAGTTCCGATAACCGAGATTCCAGTGTACATCGTTATGGCCTTAACAGTTAATTTTTGTTAAATATCAAATACCATGATCGTCGGATGACGTACTGTCCAAAAATGAGGTTATAAACAAAACTGGGTCGTTCTTGACAGTATATTTCTCTTTATCCGTAGGCGTGAAAACGGATTTTTGTGTTCTGTTTATAACTTGATGTTTGAAACTTCATTATATACGAACTTTTGGAAAGAACGTATAGCCACAAGTAGACTGCGTATTTTGCGTATTTAGAACATAAGGAAGTATGTGACATGCAATAGGTGATGAAATTTCTATCAGATTTAATATCTTTTTTATTTTATTCTTAACGCGATAAAGTCCTTAAGAGAAAAAAAACTTCATGTTTCGAATTCTGTCTTTGTAAATTACATTATAAAATGTAGGTTGGTTTGCATACCGATCCGCAGTCTAGTTATAAGGTGGCTAGAGATGGTTGCACAAACTCATATGTCGAGGGACAAAGATATAAAAATATTAACTGAACGGAATAATTTCTTTGATTACTGCAAGTCAAAATTGGGTAATAATTTCAATAAAAGATGTTTAAGACTTTACTGCACCTCTTATGCACATTTATTCTGCGATGAGAACTTTTATTCTACGTCCACGTACATACATGCATCTTCCGCTCGGAAGTATTTCCGTTGTTCTGACAGACATAGTTTTAGGGACCACGACGACGAGTCCTCGGTATTCGACGCTGTTAGCAAGTTGAACGAGGTGCGCGGTGTGAAGGGCCTCGGACGGTTCTTCAAGCAGATCGCGCAGAGCGCCAGATCTGGAGGGCAGGACGACTTCTTAGGCTGCGTGAATATTCCTCTTCAGGTAATCAATTGCTTTATACAGGCTGTTCACAAAGTCCCGATTTTTTTATAGGAATTGTTGTAAAGCAGGCCTGTCCAACATGTGGCCCGCGAGCCAAAATCGATAATCGCCCCTACCGGCTTGCTCGTTCAGCCGATGGGAATGACCCCCCTCCATATACACAAGAAGCCCGGCGATATAGAGCCAAGGAAGCGTGTGCGCATGCTTCGACTGTTCCCACTTCCGACGCTTCTGATATCCCTACCCAGAGAATCTTGGTGACACGCGTTGACATAGTCGTAGGACTCCCATATCTAGGGGAGGCACTCCAAAACTTCCCGCGCATACGGGGGCCCTTCTGTACTAGCCAAATGTAATAACTTTCACTTCTGTTCCATTATAGTGTAGTAGGAACTACACATAGGGAACATAAAGCACACACATTCAACTTCACATAAATTCGTCAGGACAAAAGGCAAAGAAAAAGAGAGCAACACGTGGTTCCTTCCTCGAGCGTTCCGATGCGACTCTCCGTTGATCGGCGCTCGTCGCAGTGCTGACAGAATCGTGGTACTGTTTACACCTACCACTCTCCCACTCCGACGTACTATCGTCTCCCACTATGACGTCCCGGCTACCCCCACTTTACGTCCACCGTGCTGGCACACACACACAGGTATATCCCAGCCCTGTCCATGTGCGCAGGCCGTTCGAGAGACGGTGAGCTATATTTAGAAAAGAGTGGGGGAAAGCGACCCACGATTCTGGCATCACTGCTTGCCTTGGAAATCCTGTTCGAATACGACTGCGGCGAAAATTCACGTTCTCGACGCGATGCCCCGCAACCTAAGCGCGTGAACAGTCAAGAAATCCTGTTCGAATCCCAATGCGGCGGTTTTACTTTTTATTTTCAATTATTTTATAATTTCACTTTGTAACCTCTAAATAAAATAAAAAAGTTAAAAAATATCAATTCGGGAAGCATTTACAAAGAAGAAAATAAATGTTTTCCACTTCAATATCTCAATTTTTTATTATATACATTGTAACTGTTCCGAATACATAAACGAGCTCCGGAGAGTCACACACACCGAGACAGCTCGGGTTAGTGCACAGTAGCGATATATCGCATAACGGGAATCGACGGAGCTCGCGATCTACGTAATAGAATCGGAGTGGGAATGCCCCACTATCTATTGAGATTGCGTGCGCATCGATCCCCACCGGGTGCTGATCGAAGGAGGTCGATACGAGCCCGTCGATCAGCACTCTGCGCTGGGAAGCGAACTGATACACACGCGATCCTAAGGAAGATCCGTACGGCGAAACACGGTATCTAATCGAGAGGTTAAACCAACCTGGTAGAATCGTCAAAC